TATATATATATATATATATATATATATATAAAGAGAGAGAGAGAGAGAGAGAGAGTGAGAGAATAAATTCAGGATCAACGAACTATCATAACGCGTGTTCGAACTTCCAACCTCTGACCTTCCTTAAACGTTAATTAAATTCTTTTAACTAATATCGTTGACCGATCATCACGTAGGTAGACAGTTCATATAAAAAATCATATTTATAGATCAATCATATTTATATCTTACATATATTTATTATCAACGATAAAAATGGTTTTATAAAGAAGAACTAAAATATGATATATATATATATATATATATATATAATAACTTACCCCTTTCGAAGTATAAGAAAAACAGTAGTAAAATAACAAAACCTTTCACGTTCCCATCTTACTCTCACATACATGAAATTTTGCCCCTTTTTTCTATCTCTCTCTCTTTCAATGTAATCGCAAGTAAGCTTTCACTCGTCTTTGGTAGGACTGTCAAGCAACTCCTCTTTCTCTCTCTGTTTCTCTCTTTTGCGTGGAGTCTCCGTACGAACGACCTTTCCTCTTAACGGGCACGACGACTTTCAACCCCTAGCTGTGCACTAACAACGTCGAGAGTATAAACGCGTTCACTATACTTTTTTTTTTCTTTTTTTTTTTTAACACCCAGTCACCCACCCTATTCCACTTTCCTACACCTTCTTTCTTTTTATATGTATGTGTGTGTGTGTGTGTGTGTTTTTTTTTTATATTTATTGATACAATATTTATATATGTATTACAAGTGTATTGATACACATATATTATATATATATATATAATAATAATAATAATAATATTATATAATAATATATAAAATAATAATATAAATAAATATTATATATAATATATAGAATATATTTTTTTATTAATATTAATTAATAAAATAACTAATTAATATTTATAATATATAATAATATATATAATATGTATATATATATATATATATATTAATTTGTTATATATTAATTAATGTTTTATATTCTAAATAATATTTTCTATAATCACCAAGAGAGTAAAGGGTTTTATTTTTTATAAACAATAAATGAGAGAACAAAGATTAATGTATCAATACACACATATGTATATATATATATATTAATATATATTTTTTCTATATTATCTATTAAAACTTGATAGAACAATTTTTTGTGCACGGATAAGTTAAAACCCACCACGAGACTAAAGGGGTTGTTTTTTTTGTGTGTGTTTTAGTAAACAATAAACGAGAGGACAAAGATTCGTTCGCAGTTACACGACGGCGACTCGTCGACTGGCGCCGTATCGTCGACCAACTCCTCTCTCCTTTCCTATTTTCTCTCTCGCATACACTATGATATATATATATATATATATATACACACACCTTCCCACCCCCGCGAATGCGAAAAGTCCCGCGTTCGACACTCTTCACTTCACTCGTTGAATTTTAGTTTGACTAAAACTTCTAAACTTTTTTTTCACCTCTTTCTCAATTGTTAATTTAATGACAACGTACAAATGAAAATTAACAAATGTTATATTTATTTGTTTATTTGTTATATATTGTTTGATGGTTTTTGGTAATGTGTGTTTGTAGGTTGTACCTACAGGATCACTCCCCAAAAAGCATATCGACGCGCCCTCCTCATCCAACACCACGACACGCAGGCGTCGGAGGAGGTTTTGCACACCGGAGGACGGTGACCTGCATTTTCGTTGGCGCCGAGGAAGATCCTCTTTCTCTCTCTCTCTCTCTCTGTCTTTCTTTCTCTTCTCTCTCTTCTCTCTGAGAGA